AAATAAATAACGCGTTATCGACCACAGCTCGTTTAGAAGCATGTTTACCATAGCTAGACCAAATTTTTTTTTAATTCTACCAATACGATTGTTATGAACTTATTTGTTTTAAATTAGTAGAAAGAAATATTGTGAGATCCTGTGCCTATATTCTTATCACCTTTCAGGGCGTCACAAAAATATTGTAAAAACTTAACCACATTCTGTTTCGATATGCCTTACATTTTCGTTATACTGCAATAAATAAATCAACCAATAAAATAAGTTTATTTGGTTTTAATAGAAAAACGTAAAGAACTTGCTACTTGGTAGTTTGTATTCACACGAAATCTTAAAAATGCAATATTGAACATTTTAAAAAGTTTACAACAACCTGCTTGTTCTGCTTGTGATGAATGAGTGGTAGAATAAAAAAAACTTATTTTTAATGCTTTTTTACTTATCTCGAATCCTATTATAATTGCAAATTAACAATAGAATAGAATAGAATAGAATAGAATAATATTTATTACTATCACACATCACAACACAACAATGACGATGCTCACAGCAGCATATAAATTATTATAACATATAAATAGAAATAATAAATACAATACAAATCATTAAGAGAAAAAAAAGCGAACAAGAAAATCAAACAAAAGAAAATAATATATATAAACACATATACCAAAAACAATGACAACAAAGCAAAGAAATGCGTAAAAAGACATATAAATGTATTGAGCTGCCCAAAAAAATAATAAATTATTCTTAAAGTAAATAGTATGTCGTAAATGTTTACTCTGTGTTATCCGCCTAGATTTATGTATGTATGTGTATTATTATTATTATTTTATTATATTTATTATATATGAAGGTATCCGCTGAAATCCAGCGTCGTGGCATTCCGTCACGACATATGCTGAGCGGAGACCTATTTGGTACTGTAATTATTAATATAAAAATGTAATTTAAAATTTTAAAATTATTTTCAGTGTACCAAATAAACAATTTTCTTTCTTTCTTTTTCTTTCTTTAAACTTTATGAATAAAAACGACTATTAGCAAAAGACTAAAAAACGGACAAAAACAGTAAAAATGCATCACATCTATATACATAATATATAAACCATATTACTTTACTGGCCTAGAAGGTGGCGGGCCTAAATTGGTCCTGGGGGAGTATTATGAACTCTTTATAATCCAGTCAGTTTCCAGGCAGTTCAGTTTAAGCCGTAAACTAACTGAGAATAAGAGTTCATAATACGCCCGCTGATCTTTGAACATGATTTTCAATAGAGATCCTCATTTGGACGCCGACTCGCAATAATTATAATTATTATAATTTACACTTTATTCTAGAAAGTTACTGATTGTAAAAGACGAATATTTATAATAAATACAAAATATATAGGTATACAGCTTAATTATAAAGATATATGCGTCGGTACGCACAAGCTACGCTAGCGATTCTCCCACTATGAGAGCATTGCAATTATTAAATTTATTTTTTGGTAAGGTCCAAGATGCTGACGTTTATACGAAGAAGTAAGTAGTAAGAAGCCTTCCATAATTACTAAAATAAGAATATTTTTATCATCATATAATTTTAAGTTGTATAAATAGTTTTAAAATATAAACGTGTTGGCAATTAGCTGTGATTGTGTTAATTAATTAAATAAATAAATAAAATACAAACTTATATTGCATTATTGTTGTGAAACTGATACTATTTCTATTTCTATCTATTATTTATAATTATAATCGTAGAATTATCGAACTACATTGGAAACCGTTAAAAATAAATATTTATAACTATGTACCTATAATATTTCATTTTTTTTAAACTCATGTAGCAGAAGATATAATTATCTTAAGGTATAATATTTTATACCACATTAGTGGTAATTAAGGATAGGGCTCATCTCATGGTAATTTTTTCTTGCTCTATCAAGATATATACCTCTATTCTTCCTAGCATTTACCGGCGACTTTATCAGAGAACTTTCACGCTAGATGCCACCCCCTTCTGTAATATTTTTTTATATAGAAGATAGTTCATGTTTGTCGTATACCTGTCTATTCTTAGATATACGCACAAAGTGCACGGCTGACCCGCGGAACTTCGTCTGCATCACACTTACTTGACATTTACACTTATTTTAAAAAGATATTATGGAAATTCGGCGAAATTTTTTTCGTCGAATTCTATCTTTACTTTATTTTTAATTATAGCTATATCTTGTCTTATATATAAAATTCTCTTGTCACAGTTTTCGTTCCCATACTCCTCCGAAACGGTTGACCGATTCTCATGAAATTTTGTGAGCGTATTGAGTAGGTCTGAGAATCGGCCAACATCTATTTTTCATCCCCCTAAATGTTAGGGGTAGTCCACCCCTAAATTTTTTTTTTATTTTAAGGCAAAACAACGTTTGCCGGGACAGCTAGTATGTATATATATATTATCTATACTTATAACATTAAATCTTTTCAATTATAGCCTATGTGCTATATATAATATGATGTATACGCTATATTACTGTAAAGTTTAAAAACAAACATCCATCTAGCCAACCAAAAAAAAAAAGTAATTCAATTGAGTTTCTTGCCAGTTCTTCTCAATTGGATCTATATACCGAACTGGACGGTAGGGAAAAAAAATCTAAAATAAAAACTTGACGTTCATAAGCGGCTAAAATGTCCTACATGAATAAATGATTTTTTAATTTTGAATTTTGAAAAAATTTTGAACCATACACACAAACTTTCGCGTTTATAATATTAGTAAGATATCTTTATAATAAAATTTAAAATCCATTCACCCGTTAACTCGTGAAAAGGTATCAAACAAAAAGATATAGGTACCTTTGCATTTATAATATTGCTCAGGCTTCGCACGGGTGTACATGTATTATACATATGTATAAACTTTCCTCTAATCACGGTATTCATTGCTAAAAACTATATTAAAATCAGTTGCGTAGTTTAACAGATCTAAGCGAATAGACAGCGAAACGACTTTATTTTATACTATGTAAAAATTATGGGTCATATATGTTTTTTATTTATTTATAATCTTTAGAAATTTGGTTTGACCAACTTTGCTTTGACAATATATTTAATACCTTACATATATACCTACATATATTTAATATTCAACCAAATTATTTGAATCCAATAAAACTACTATTCAAATCTACTTTTCTTTAAAATAATTAGTATATATATTTATTTAAAGGTTTCTGTTTATTTTATTTATTTTCTGTATATTTCTATTTATTTTAAACAATGTTTAACATCTTAATTATATAAATTATTATATTTTTTTGTGAACATGCATTTCGCAAATGATGAATGGTAAATATACAAAGTTATCTATAGCATTAACTTAATTAAGTTGTCGTGCCTACCATATGTACCGGCTTATTGAGCGATGTACGCTCAATAAACCGATAATAAATTATATAGAACTTAAAAATCAATTTCTAAATAATTTAAGTAATTATTTATTATTTTATGTTCAAAATATTATTTTAAACATAACACTTTTATTGTTAACATGTTTGTTATAAAAAAAGAGTTCTTGTGCCATTCATATATCGCTCAATAAATTAATAATAAATAAATTCTTTAATTATTTAGAATACTTAAATATGTTTATTTTAAAATTAACACTTTTATTGCTAGCATGTTTCTTATAATAAAAGAATTCTTGTGCCATTCAGATATCGCTCAATAAATTAATAATAAATAAATTCTTTAATTATTTAGAATACTTAAATATGTTTATTTTAAAATTAACACTTTTATTGCTAGCATGTTTCTTATAAAAAAAGGTTTCTTGTGGCATTCATATATCGCTCAATAAATTAATAATAAATAAATTCTTTAATTATTTAGAATACTTAAATATGTTTATTTTAAAATTAACACTTTTATTGTTAGTATGTTTGTTATAAAAAAAGGATTCTTGTGCCATTCATATATCGTTCAATAAAACAATAATAAATAATTCTTCAATTATTTAGAACATTTAAATTAAAATGTTTATTTTATACTTAACACATTTACTAGTAGATTGTTTATTATAGAAAAGATTAGGTGGCAAAAGTGATTTATGTAATTTCATTTAGTTGCACATATATTCTTAACGATAAGAAATATTTTGCAAAAATTGTGAATTATTTCAATTTAATTTATTTGTAAGTAATTATGAGATAAATGTTAAAAAAACATAGATGAATATATATACTGGTAGAAAATACTATTAGTTGTCTGTCCGGTATACAACTTTTAATTATTAATATAATACTAACTGAGACCACGTTTATACGCACATAAAATGCATGTGTTATTCTGATGTATAAGCTATATTCCTATAAAGTTTCATTATAATTCGTTTAGTGGTTTTTGATGAAAACTTTTGCTTTGTTATAATCATTTTATAATTATAATCAAAACTATTTTATTGTCAATTAGCTACTCACTCCAACTTCGTACATGTATTATACATATAATCATTCTACTTGAATCACTCTATCTAATACTAAAAACTGCATCAAAATCCGTTGCGTAGATTAAAAGATAAGCGTACAGACAGTGGAAGCGACTTCATTTTATACTATACTTGCTACTCGCCCTGGCTTCGCCCGGGTGTACATGTATTACACATATAAACCTTCCTCTTGAATCGCTCTATCTATTAAAGAAAACCGATTCAAAATCCGTTGCGTAGTTTTAAAGATTTAAGCTTACACAAGGACGGACAGACAGCGACTTTGTTTTATACTATGTAATGATGATAAAGATGCATGGTTGTAACTTATATAATCAGATTTGATCTTGTTTTCTTTTTTATTATGTTTATACATGTGTGTTGTACTTATTTACTTAATTCTTTTCTTAATTTACTAAATAACTACAATAAGTAGTATGTATGCCCAATAAGACTTATGTTTTAAGGAAACGGGAGTTTGTTATGCCAATTCATGAAATAATACAAGTTGTTTGTTTACGAATATAATTTTATTAACAATTTTAATTTAATGACTGTAATGTAAGTCGATATTGTATTTACAATTTGCATTTATATTATACATTTTTACAATTCTCTCATGAATCTCTAGTCCTAACATACGCATCCTAAATCATCCATTTAGCATTTTATTAGGTAGGTAGCCATAATGCACAAGATTTTGTATATAATCTACAAGATATAAATAAAAATTCAATAATATCTAAATAATGGAAAATAAATACAATTGTCCTATTGTAGGAATAAATATCGGTAAGGATCAACTTATAGAAAATTATAACTTCCGAGTTGAAGTCAAAGTTTATACTATAGAATCAGCTGTAGACATAAAAAATAACTCTACGTATAGAAATATTGATATAAATAATAAACATGTTCTGCTTAATTTAAAACACTGTGTAAATCTTGAATCCAATAATGAATCTTATCTAATTTTATACAATTATATTGCTAGAAATGTAATTGAAAATGTTACAGAATAAAAATTGACTTGCGGTTTTAATATTACCTAATTGAATCTAATATAAGCAATTACTAAGCAGATGATAATAAACGGATATGTCTACAGCATTTAGAGTTTGTTGCAAGCAGCTGCTTTAATGGAAATAAATAATTCATAGATACCTATAAATAGACAGTTAGGTAAATATAATTCGCAGAAGAAGAAAGTGTTTCTTGTTCAGGTACAAACCTTCATTAGCCTTCAATATAGGTACATACGAATTCTAGTTCATCAACATAATTATGTACATTACTGACAACTAACGTAGATACAACTAAAAGTGATATGAGACTATGTTTAGTGGTAAAATATTAATAGCGTGTATAAATATTTAAAGTAAATGCTTCTCTTTAAAAAAATCATAAAACTTTTCTAAACGTATCAATTATTCCAATTGGAAATGAAATAAATAAACTACACTTAACAATTAGGTAAACCATGGGGTGCATGATTGTATACGAGATTAGAAACAATAAAATAATAACCCTGTGTTACCTTCGAACTGTACTTTCCTAACCATTGCATCAAAATTTCCAACTAATCCCGAAGACCTACTTTTAAAGGCAAGAGTCTAGTAATTATTTCTGTGACTACAAAATAGAGTAGTACATACCTGATACGAAGAAATGCTGATATTACTTCAAGCACTCGCTTTACACTTTTAACAATACAATTATGCCCTTAACAAACTGGTTTACAATGCCTTAACATCACATAAATCACGGATCTGTGACTCTAACTAGAATAATAAGATAACTTCTCGTCTATATTGCATCGTTTGTACGCCACTAGAATCGTCTCTGCAACGTGTGAACCGCGTCGAAACGCCAACATCACGCCGTATAAAAATCTTATCACCGTGATAATATTTACACTATCAGTCTCTGTGGCCGGTGCTCGTGCTACTCCTCGTCCACATTGATCTCCGAGTCGGCAGAATCCTCGTCGTAAGTCGAGGACGACGCGAACCCTCGGCCCAGCAACGCGGAGCGGTTCTTTGCGGCCGCCGCTCGGTCCCGCTGCCGTCGGTTCTTAAACCAATTCCCCACTTGCGTCGGCGTCAAACCCGTCGCCGCCGCCAATTCCCTCTTTTTCGTCGGATTCGGATAAGGATCTTGCAAGTACCATTCTCTTAGAAGCGATCTCGTCCGCTCCTTAAAACAATGCGTCTTCTGCTCGCCGTCCCATATGGTGCGCGGTAGAGGGAACTTCTTGCGGACTCGATATTTGTCTACGGGTCCCAGAGGCCGTCCTCGAAGTCTCTCAGCTTCTTGATAATGTGCTTCGAGCCATAGTGCTTGCAACTTAGCGTGGCTCGAACGTTGGAAGCGATGCCGCTCGAGTATCGAATACAGCTCGCGGTGTCTCCCCGCATGAAATGCTACCACTGCTCTAGCTCGCAGCACTGCCTCGCAGCGTTCCAACTCGGCGACATTGGGATGTGCGACGGGCAGAGACCAGAGGAACCTGGCGAGTCGTTCGACGTCGCCACTTTCCTCGAGGGTCTCGCATACGGTGGCGACCTGTGCAGCGCTGAAGGAGAGGGTCGGCAGCGGCAGCAGCGGCGTCGGCGCGGCCAGCTCGATGGCGTTGAGCGCGAGCGCGGGCGCGGGCTCGGCGCAGGCGGCCGGCTCGGCGGCGCGGTCGGCCGCGGGCCCGCGGTGCGCGTCCAGGATGCGCGCGTGCAGCGCCGCCGTCGTGGACTCGTCCCAGGAGCCGCGCATCGGTGCGAGTGTGCGCGGCGGAGTCGCGCGCGGTGTGAGCCGGCGGCTCGGAGGCGCCGGGGGCGTTATACGGCCGCGCTCACGATTGGCTATCGGTTACTGCGCGCGGAGCCCGGCGGCCAATCGCGCGCTCCGCCCGCTCGGGGGCCGGATAGCTTTCAACCGCGCCGGGCGCATATCCGGCGGGCGCGTTTAACGAGGGCGGCGGGGCGCGGCCCCCCGCGCCGCCATGATCCGTCACGCACACCGCCCGCGCCGCCCGACCGATCCGCCGTGATCCCTCGACGCACCTCGTGTCTCTACCTCGATCGATTACCTGCAAACCTGCAATTAATAGCCTACATCCACGTATTCAGCCGGGTAGGTTTCACGCACCTGATTATTCCACGCGTCACTGTTGACTGACTGCTGATTAATTACAGATGCTGCAGTACATTAAATCAAAATACGACTAGATGTTGAAGAATATTTCCGATATACATCAACGCTAATTGACAAGTAGGTAATAGCAATATTGAAGTTGTTAAATAATTTCTTACCTACTTATTAACATAACTGTTACACGACGTCTCAACTTACATATGACATTTCTACTTCAGTTATTTTAATTTATCTTTATGCTATGACATTTATTACGTAGTTCAAAAGAAACATATCTTTCTAGAGACTCTACTTACCTAATAGGTACCTATTATGTTGTAATATAATGATAACATTACGATAACGAAAAGTGCAACATACAAGTTTCTTGTTCATTCTTGTGAGGAGACAGCTTTCCGAATCGATCATTCGGATGTCTGTAGATTAAAAAATTTGTGGTGACTATTCAAAATGCTTAAATTAAGTTTATTTTAATAAAGCATTTTCTATTCTATTCTACATAATTAAAAAAACTATTATGTGTTTTATGTGATAAGTATAAATTAAATAGGTATAAGTTACCTATAAGTTTAGTTATTACTGATACATTTTACGTGATATAATATATATTTATGAATTTAACCTTATTGAATAGTAATATAGACCAGTTTAGCATATCAGTAGTTTCCTCCGAGATCTAAGGTTCAGGACTCAAGTTATTTTTTTATGAATGATAATGGAATTATTCACACGCCTGCGCTAACTCTGGCGGGGCACCAATGGAGGATGAGCATGAGGTCAAGTCAGTTCGCTCATTATATTCATCAGGAATTTATCACGACGGTTTCCAGCGGGAACCGCGTGGAGGTCACCCGACATGGTACATTTGTAGCAATAGGGTCAACAGACCACACCACTAACAATCTTCGGCCCGAACCTAAGTTGTTTAAATATTCAGCAATGGGTGGAAAGAGGATTGTCAGCTTGACCTCCACGCGGAACTAACTAACTAACAAAACATCGAGATATACTCTTGGTGAATTTATCACGATGGGCTAACTGACCTGACCTCATGCTCCTCTTATCATCCTCCACTCGTGCCCCGACAGCGTAAACTGTTTGCGTAGGCTGGTGTACCATTCCATTATCATAAAAAAATATATTCAGCAAGTATCAAAACGTGTAGATCACGGTATAACATCAGCGAGATTTCAGCGTGAAAGCCTTTCCAGAGTATTAAGTTATTGAACGGCAAACCACACCCAGCCGGCTGTAACGCTACACAGGTGCCCCCAACCCCTGCACCCTAAACCCCCAGACCCCCTATCACCACCCCCCAGGGTTGTAGGTCGTATTTCTCGTATATTTACTCGGATTACGTATCAGAATGGTAATAGGTAGTTTCAGTTGTATGAAAAATAACAATTTGTGCCCCACTGGCTTACTACCCGTTTTAGGTTAGATTCCCGAGTCTTGGATTCGAATCGGGCCGTCAAAAAAAACATTGGTTTTTTTTAACTTATTCTCACGTGAATGAAATGTCAGTGTAATCTAATATTATAAGACCGTAGATAAATATGTCTGGTTGTTTGTTTAAAATTCGCAACGATTCTAATGAAATTTGACATAGAGCTAGAGACATTAAGACGAATGTCAGACAATTTTATGATTAAAAAAAAGCATTCTTGTGTAATAATTTGTGTATTATACGTACATACACACATACACACTTATAATGGCTCTCATTCTATAATTATTATTGCAAATATTTTTCTCATACAGACAACATCTCAGATACTATATGGATGCTTGTATTCCTTTATAAGTTTGGCTCATTTAAGTAATTAATAATAGTTTCAACTACATTTTGAAATAGGCAATGTAATTGAATATCCTTCATACAGGCCATTATAATGACATAGTAAGAACACCAGTGATAGGTGTAAGAAAAACTTATACAAATATATATTTATTAATTTTTATTTAAATATACGTACCTACCTATAACTATTTTTTGCAAAAATAGAGAGAATAAATGGGAAGATTAAGGAACAGTCCATTATATCATTCATAATTTAAGAGCCATGGTCTTTTTAGTACAGCTCTTGCCACTTTCCACGATCATCTCTTATCATCTTTAAATTTTGTCCTTGGGAAGACCAAGGCACAGCTACATCAAGTAAATTAAAAACAAAATTAAAGTCATATTGTACCAACATTTATAGAGGTTGATGGAAGATCGTGGACAGTGGCAAGAGCTCCACCGACAATAGCTTGGCTCTTAAATTATGAATGAATGAATGAATTAGGTCATCATCATCTGTTTCATCTTTATCTCATTTATCGGCGTAATATGTTTTTCTCTGTTCGCAGTCATCTCGTTATTTACCCTTTCTTACCATATCATCTTTCGCACAGTCCATCCATCTCTTTTTCGGCCTTCCTTCCTCTCTTATAACCATCCACAGTCATATGTAACACCTATCATAAAATATTATTTTATTAAAACCTTATTATAGTTATTGATTATATTTTGTATACATTCGTATGTAGAGCTGTAAATTCTAAGTAACAACAAAAATCTAACTACCTAAACCCTTTATAAGATAAGAGTAGATAACAATATAATTTCTTATCTGGATTTGTTCGGTAGCTCGGCCCTTACCTACTTCATTGCGGGTATGCATTCAATTGAAATGCCATGCAACAATGTTGTTTTTATCAAAAGAAATCACGAATACAGATGTTTGATTTATTACATTGATTATAATAATAATAATAATATGTTAGGACAATTTACAACAACACCATCTATTCCCAAGGTAAACAGAGCTTGTGTTGTAGAAACAGATATTGAAATAATCTCTGTTAAAGTAAACTCAATACAACCACTTGACTAGTCTTATTTTTGATTCTACCACTCATTCGGAACGTAGATTCATCAGAAGAAGAATGAGCGAGAAACTTGTGTGTTGCTGTTTGAATATTATTATTAATAGGTCTTCATTATTAAAATGTATTATAATACTAGCTAATTTTAATTTAAAATTAAAGTCGCTATTAAAAAATAATTAATGATAATTTTTTTTGGTAAATAATGATAAATAAAGTCCTAAATTTTCACCCTTCTATCATTAATGGGGTTAATGATAGAAGGGTGAAAATTTAAGACTTTATTTATTTTAATATCAAATCCTGATAAAATAAATAGTTTTGTCAAAAAGAAATTTTTGTGGGTCTCGCTTATCATTGAAGAGAATGAAAAATAGATGTTGCCCGATTCGATATCCGATATGCTCACAAAATGTCATAACAATCGGTAAAGCCGTTTTGTAAGAGTATCGTAACTAACATTGTGACACGAGAATTTTATATATAAGATTATCCACGCAAAGTTATAGTTAAGTATCGACTCTTAAACATGTATTTCAATTGCAAAATCAATAGCGATTGACCGCTATAAAAACACGTAATCAGACCAATATAGGATATTGCCAGGATTGGGTTGTTTCAAGGGATTCTCGGAGCAATTTGCATTTTTCGAGTTTGCAACCGTCGCGAGATTGTGTCGACATTTCATTTGATTACTGCATCTCTGTAATCTACTTAACAGTTCGCAGCGAGTTAATTCCACAAACTTGGGCGATTGTGTTAGAATATTCTGTTACGACTTTCTCGCGAGAATCTTAAATCTGAAGAATTGTATATTTTAGAAGTTAAGGCGATAAGCCTTAAAGCTTGAATTGAGAATGAATTTAATAATAACTAGTATTTTTAATGGATTATAACGGAATGGTGCTTGTACTAACGGTTCACGCTGGCGGGGCACCAGTGGAGGATGTAAATTATATACATTCAAGTCAGTTAGCCTATGTTGACAAATGGCAATTTACCTCGATGGTTACCTGGAGGAACCGCGTGGAGGCGGAATGGTGCACTCGCTTGTGCTAACGGTTCACGCTGGCGGGGCACCAGTGGAGGATGATAAATTGTATACGTTCAAGTCAGTTAGCCTATGTTGGCAAATGGCAATTTACCTCGATGGTTACCAGGAGGAACAGAGTGTAGGCGGAATGGTGCACTCGCTTGTGCTAACGGTTCACGCTGGCGGGGCACCAGTGGAGGATGATAAATTGTATACGTTCAAGTCAGTTAGCCTATGTTGGCAAATGGCAATTTACCTCGATGGTTACCTGGAGGAACCGCGTGGAGGCGGAATGGTGCACTCGCTTGTGCTAACGGTTCACGCTGGCGGGGCACCAGTGGAGGATGATAAATTTTATACGTTCAAGCCAGTTAGCCAGTTGGCAAATGGCAATTTACCTCGATGGTTACCTGGAGGAACCGCGTGGAGGCGGAATGGTGCACTCGCTTGTGCTAACGGTTCACGCTGGCGGGGCACCAGTGGAGGATGATAAATTGTATACATTCAAGTCAGTTAGTCTATGTTGACAAATGACTACTTACCTGGACAGTTACCAGGTCAAACTGACGTATATTGCTAGTTATGAGGTTATAAATACATTACTAACAATCCTCTTATTCGGACCATCGTGTCAGCATATTCTGTTACGCTGTACCTACTTTCTCGCTAGAATATTAAATCTGAAGAATTGTTAATTTAGAAGTTAAGGCGATAAGCCTTAAAGCTTGAGAAGGAATTTAATAATAACTAGTTCAACCCAACTGTAGATGGAGAATTGTGTGTTATCCTGAACTGGGAGTAAATATTTATTTATTTAAACTCATTATTGCATCAGACAAAGAAAACACATAAAATGATATATTATATAAACTGATATAAAAGGTGGTCTTATCGCTAAGCAACCTCTTCCAGACTACCAGTAGAGAAAGTAACATTAAGATAAGATAGGTGGTGCACGTAATGTACATAAATATACATAAATATATCTATTAATATATATAATAAAATATAAACATACCTATACTTAGTATAATTTTGTCCAGATAAAACTGTACGTAGCTAAGTAGTTTAATTGGGGGAAGGGAATTGTTAGTAATGTGGACTAATGACCCCATTGCTACCAATGTACCATGTCAGGTCGACCTCCACGTGGTTCCCCCTGGAAACCATCGTGATAAATTCTTGCTGAATTTCTCATGATGGGCTAACTGACCTGACTTCATGTTCATCTTATCATCCTCCACTGGTGCCCCGTCAGCGTAAACCGTTAGCGCAGGTGGGTGCACCATTCCATTATCAACCCTCAAAAAAAAAAGTAGTTTAATTTTAATGCTTACCTATGTCTGCTTGATGGGTAAAGTTGAAATAAAAATCATTTTCATTAATTTGAACTACCTACCTAATGTCACTACCTGCTGATTTGTAAATTTGACAGGTATCTTTCAAACTAAATAAATAACGTTATATCAACTTTTCAAGATTTGTAACTTCTGAAGACAATTATTAGAAAAAATATAATATAAGAAAATATTACTGAAGACAATGGCTGTATGGGCTGAGTCCTTTTGCCTTTCCCTAAAAAGGGGAAAAGCGAACCAAAAAAAAAAGAAACGTAGTGTGTATTTTTTTACAGACTACCAAAATCAGCTCGCACTTGTATACTTATAGTATGGATACAAAATGGTAAGTATTTTTTTAACTCTTGATAATCATAAGTGGATCCGTCTGTGCTAACCATTGCAGGATGATAAGATGAATAGGTCCGGTTAGTCAGCCCATTGCGACAAATTCACCAGGAATTTATCACAGTTTCGGAGGTGAGATCATGATGACCGTTACACTGTTCATGTATACCGACAACTGCCATTTACCATGAGGTCCACCAACATATTTGCCATTCCAATAGCATAAAAAAACAATTATATTCATATTAAAGTATTTTAACAAGTGTTATAAATAAGACGCTACACACAGAGCGATGCAATAAAAGCTAGCCACCTATCCGGGTAAGTAGCTTCTATGCGCGGGAGCACAATTATTTCATTAAAATAACTATGGTCGCAATTAAAATTGTCTCCTCGACTGGTGTTCGGTTCGTGACAGCAAAATTATAGCTGTAAAACCGGTTTTATTGATATACTAGATGTACTCGCGACTTCGTCCGCGTGGAATTTAACTTTATTTTTCTAAAATAAAAGTAACTTAAGTAAAGTTACTCCT